CCTGCAGTGTGAACGTAGCCAATCTGTGGGATTGTTCAGTCAGATAATACGCCGTCATCCTGATTGGTGACATTAAATGTCATGTCGGAGTCACAATCCAAGGCTGTCGCTATGTTAAGGCTGTTTTTATGGGTTTTGTTCAATTTACCTAAAAACCTGCAAGGTTTTGGATTGTTAAGGATTACATTATTGAGTCATGACTGTATCTGTTTGTTTCTGTCTACCTGTAGTTTCTGCTCATTTTCCTCATCCATCTTCTAAAGAATTAAAAGACCGAGAGCATCTCACCTGCTGAAGGAGCTGGCTGTTGGTAGCCGGACTGGTCAGGTCGGCGTCGGTCACAGTCGCCAGCTTCAGCACCGTCTTCACCTTTGAAACTGCAGCAAACACACAGTCACAACACAAACAGAGTAGATTAGTATTTATTTATTTATTTTTTTTTTTTACTGATTCCCAGAAAATGCTGTTATTGAGCAGCAGTTACCCTGGTGACAGAGGAAGACATAGCGATCACTACAGCGCCCATCGTCCCAGTGATGAGTGCCACTATGCTCAGTCATACAGAACTGATTACCACCATAGTTGTTTGGGCTTGAAGAACGCCAGTATCTGAAGGAGCTTTGGCTCTTGTCGGCCCACACCCATGGCACACGGTACAGACCGATCCAAGCTTCGACCTTGGCTGGTCTTACTGAATCGACGTCAGTGTTTTCTGCGCTGTTCTCGATCATTGCCAAGTCTGTGTAGTGTGTCCTGCAGTGCTCTTGGGCAGAGGTCCATGTTTTCACTGTTGAGATGTACGCATATGTTTTCTTGTTCTGCTCCGTAACTGCAACCAACAGAAAGCAGCAGTTAGATTCTTCCAGTTGCTCCGTCAGTTAGTTGAAGCTCAGTGTGAAATGGACAAATATAAATTGTGAGCATTGTAAAGTTAAGTTTTTTATACATGTAAAATCCATCCATCCATCATCTCTACACCTTAATCCTCACTAGGGTGGTGGGGGGCTGGAGTCTATCCCAGCTGACTCAGGGTGAAGGCAGGTTCACCTGGACAGGTAACCAGTCTATCACAGGGCTACACTTAGAGACAGACAACCAAGCACACTCACATTCACACCTACGGACAATTTACAATCACCAATTAACCTCAGCATGTTTGTGGACTGTGGGAGGAAGCCGGAGAACCCGGAGAGAACCCACACTGCACGGGGAGAACATGGAGACTCCACGCAGACAGATCCCGGGTGTCCTCACCGGGACGCAAGTCAGTGACCTTCTAGCTGTGAGGCAACGGTGCTAACCACCGAGCCACCTTGCAGCCCAACATGTAACCCATCATCTAACTCCACCGTAGCCGTCTTCATTATTCTGTTAAAGTGACACTGTTCTGTCATTCAGACAGTGACTACTTTTCAGTTATTATTCCTCAGAGAGAGCCACAGTAGATGCACAGTATTTGTAATTTAGGCCAGATCGGACGGCACAACACTGATGTATAATACACAATGATGTTCTAAAGCGGTGAGGTTTTATTTTTATGGACATTTCAGATTGTAATAGATGAAATCAAACTTGTACTGTGTTGAGAGTAATTGGCAAATGTTAGGATTTTTACAGCAAAGTGAGTCGGGTTAGGCATGAAGCTAAGGTGTTCAGATGCTGTCAAATGAGCAGAAGAGAGTGCATTTCTGCAGAGTAATGTAGATTATAACCGGCTGTAGTGAATCTTTGCAGCCAGCGGGGGCTCGAGAGAGAGAGGAGCTTTGAACTTGAAATGATTAGTGAATTAATTATTGGGCATTAAAATAAATCAATATAAAATTTCATAAATGGTAAAATTAACCGTGAATTGAATCTCTTAGATTTTTAACTGTTTGGCTTTTTTTTAAATGTAGGTTTTTGTAAAATGTGTTTATAAACTTAAAGGTCTTATACATTTCTTTATAAAGTTTATCCGTGGGCCTGTGTGAGACAGGTTAACCTCCTGTTACCTTCAAATTTACTGACATCTTTTATCCTCGGGTTCGATTTGACCCCAGCAACCTAAACCTCCAGAAAATATCACCATTAAAATTGTTGCCCAAGTTTATGTGTTAATAGCCCTTTAATTAAAACTTATTTAGAGACGTTAAACATGAAATGTGGTCAAACTGACCCCAGAGATGACAGGAGGGTTCAGTCAGTAGGCAAAGCTCGTGAACAAAACTCTCTTCTTACCGTTGTAACAAACTGATGCTTTGAGCGATTCACAGTTCTTATCGTCCCATAATCCACCCGAGCCCATCTGCACGCAGTTTTCATGTCCGTATCCGCTGTTTGGTTGGGCAAACTTCCAGTTGCTGAAACCGGTTCTGCTCGTTTCACCGGTCGTCGACCATCTCCATGAGTTGGTGTCATTGGTCATGGTCTTCCAGGACTTTGGGTCATCCTTTAGTCCGATCCACGCCCACGAATTGGAGAAATCAGCCTTCAGCCTGCTGATGTCCTCCATGCTCTCGATGGTGGCCAGGTCGGTGTACTCCTGTCGGCAGTACTGCTGAGCTTCGTGCCAGGTCATTTTTATGTTCACGTAGTGGTACTCACGCAGGGGCGCCTTCAAGCAGGAGCTGAGGCTCAGTCCTGGGTAGTAAAGATTAAACAAAAAAAAAAATGAAGGTTTCAAACGGATATGGAAACAACAGGATTAAATCCTATCAACTTATGGAGATTATCCGTGGCCCAGTAACAATGACTGCTTTATTTTTATTGTTCTACGCAGTGATACGTGTCCACCTGAGTGATACAAGCTAATATCTAAACAATGTCATTATTTCAGTATGGAGGTCCATTTCTGCCAAGAAGTGGAAGTTAAGTTCTAAAGTATAATTCTGGTTCATCTATGCCTGGTGTGGTTCCCATTACTGTGGCTGTTGTGAGTATCTTCCTCTGCCTTGATCCTCCGAGTTCATTTTATTTAGCTTCTGATATGTGAACTCATCTTTATCAAACTGAAATGACTTGAAACCGTCCTCATAATACGGTAGTCTGCCTGTTCATAGCTTCTTAGAAATCATCCTGACACATGGAAGTAAACTGGCATGCAGGGATCGATATAACATTCATTCATTCATTCATTCATTCATTCATTCATTCATTCATTCATTCAATTATTCATTCATTCATTGTTTTTGGAAAGCTGCAAGGTTTGCAGACTGTTTTGTGAAACTCCTCATTTCTTGTTTCTACAGCGGAGATGGGGAGGGAAAAGTTAGCTGGACCCATATGGACACAATAGACAGATAAACGTGAAACACCAGAATGATTCTTTAACTCTTTGTTTCACTGCAGTACGAGGTCCTATGGAAACAGCACAACCACGGCTGGTAAGTAGAAAGAGCTGAAGAAGAATGTTGTGAAAGTTATAATGCCAGAAGTCATATAAAAGAGCAAATGTTGACTTTCTTTTAATATAATAAAATGGAATCACCACCTAAAATGTTTTTCTAAGTGCTCGAATGTGTTACCTATACTGGGGGTAAAAGGTAACTCTGGATACTGTAGGGATTTTACTATTTACACATTTAATTTTATTAATTTTTTCATCTGTCATTCAGGCTCTGCTGCTTTTCATCCTTTGAAAATGTAAAAACTCAACCACAAGTCTTCATCGGTTGGAACTCGTAAGAAAAAAGATTCCAGCTTTTGAAAGAGAATATGTCTTTACCTTATTCTAAACTTTTTTTTTTTCATTTTGGACTCACTGAAAGCTGATTGGACACTGTTTAGTCATTTACTTGTGTCTGTGAACAGTTTTTACTTATTAGTGATGATCATAATCAATCATCACTGAGCATAAATCTCTCTGTGAAGTCATTGTTTCTGTTTTTAACAGAATTAAAAAGTTAATGCACATTTCATCAGTTAAATTATTTATGTGACATTTATGCGCTTACCAAAGAAGACGAGAGTCAGACACATGCAGCGATCCATTTCTGACTTCACTGCAAACAAGAAGCAAACGGGTCAACTCTCTGCAGGCTCCTGCATTTATTTGCAGTTATTCTTGTTGATACTGGAAGAAGCTAGAAATGATGTAAATAGAAGCTCATAAATAAATAATTTAAAAAAACATGCAAATCCCAACAGGTACAGAAGAGAGAAGAAGTTTGGTTAAAAAAACAAACTGAAAACATCTTGACTTTTGTATATTACATACAGGGAGGCATTAAACACATCACAGTTGGTGCAAAGATATATTATTGGAATGTAGTTAGTCAATAAATAGCAGAAAAATGTGAAAATAATGTCATCAGTCAAGACGCAGTAACAAGGAAACCCAAACAGTTCAATTAGCAATTTTTAGTTTTTTTTTTCCAGCAAATGTTAGATTTCTAATATTCTACAAATCCTTTAAGCAATGCCAAAAAAAAAGTGTTAAAATATCAACAAAAATGTGAAAATACACCTGAAAGTGTGTTTTAGAGCTCACAGAAGTTTAAAATGCAGTCGTCACTCTTTTCCAAAACAGCTTCATTTATGTTTTTTTTTTTTTTTTTTCATAAGCTTGAGCAAAGTCCCATTTGAGGTCTACAGTATCATCACATACTGGATTAAAACATTTCTTCTCATATTCACCTGCAGTCTCACAGTAACGGTGCAAAATACTCTGCAGATTTCAGTAATAACCTGGAAATATAAAGGTATACTTACAGGTTGGAATACAGCTTTTGGACATCTTCATAGTTTGAGATCTGACGTGAGTGTCGGCCAGATGTCATATGCAACCCCTGCCTTTCTCTGGGTGTCAGCTGCACCACTCTGAGTAATTCCCCACAGGGAATGAAAAAACTGAATTATTATGAAAGAATGACTCGTTTGTTTTTTTGTTTTTTTTTATTTTGCGTTTGTTGAGGTTCATTTGAATGAATCCATTTGTGTCTCAGAACATAATTTGCAAATTTCCAAAGCAGCAGACATAGATGTAAATGAATCGGTAGTGTCTCCGCTGCTGCCGCTGCATTTGCATTTGTTTTTCCAGAACTCCGTGTGCCGAGCTCAGGCTGTGTTCTATCAACAGCAGACTTGTAAATGACAGGGATGCTCATTCGGATGTTGAAGTCCTTCACGGGGTTTGTACCCAACGTGTTTAGCAGCACCTTATTCAAAGTTGTGCATATTTCTTTTCAACTGATTGGAGAAAGATCTCACAAAGAAAGTTGTACTTTATGCTTGATATTAACCCCTTCCTGCACCTCCTACTTGCTCCTGAATGGATGAGTTCCAGCTTATCTGTTAGACTGAATCACCAATTAACCTCAACATGTTTTTGGACTTTTTGGCAGGAAGCCAGAGAACCCAGAGAGAACCCACGCTGCACAGGGAGAACATGGAGACTCCACGCAGAAAGATCCCGGGTGTCCTCACCGGGACGCCAACCGGCGATCATCTAGCTGCGAGGCGATGGTGCTAACCACCGAGACACCTTGCAGCCCTACAAGGACATTAATACATGAAAAGTCTAAGTATTTGGCTGCAAGTGCTGGAAACAGACAAATCACCAGTTACAAGTGAAGCGGGCCTCACCATGGGCTGTCTTTTACCGCAGTAGTTATACCTCCTGCAAGCCATCAGGCGGCGCTATCCTTCAGCGTCTGCTATATGTGAACAAGCTAAATTTGCTGAGTTTGTGGGTCCCTGAGCAAAAACTGTCATGATGGCTTGCTAACTACTGAGGTACAGAGCAGCACAGCGGTACGCAGCCAGAATGAACGAGCCTGTGAGCCTGAACTCAGGACACAGAAACCCTTACAGATTCGAATCTCTCGCAGCAGAAGTGCAGCAAAAGTCATGTGTAAAAGACAGCCAATGGTGAGGCCCGCTGGACTGGTAACTGCTGATTTGTCTCTGTTTCCAGCATTTACAGATCTTTTTACACATTCATACATCTCACTACAGATACACAGATTGAGATACAGACATTTACAAATAGTTTTGCTACAATACTTCCCACCATACTCTACTTTCTGCATGTAAATATTTTTAAAATGTCCTAAGCTTTTAGAAATAACCTCAAAGGTGACAATTTGAAATTTTTGAACATCAGAAGGTTTCCACTGAGCAGTGAGACATGCCCGCTTGATTCTTTGGATGAATTTGTCATTGTAACTATTTTGCTGGGACACTGTTTTGAATCCTGGGCTGTGCACCGCCCAAAGCGACTGTGGTTGGTTTACAGCAATGCAGTCCAGTGGGGGGTTTTTTCCCACTGTTGCAGAATGATCATGAGGTGCTGCCAGACCATTGACGAGCACTGATACTGTAGAGATAAAACTGCAGAAAGGGCTTCATGGATAATTTCAGCATTTTTCTTAAAAGCCCAGGAACAAACCAACACCAACAACATTTTACTTTGCACATATTTGAAAACCAGTTACTGATATTTAACTTTGTTCTGCGAAACCAGCTGTTGAGTGTGATTGTTGGGGACTATTTTGAACCGTGGATGAATAAACATTTGCATTTTTAGGAAGTGTTTCCGGCTGCAGGACAGCGTATGTGAGATTGAACAAATATAGCTGCAGTGGTAGTGAAGAAAATATCCATGAACAGTGTGGATATGTAGTCTGGATAATAGTTGTGAATGATAATGCAGCCCTATGGCACAGAGGAATAAGAGATGTCAGGCTGAGGAGGGTCTTTTTATGAGATCAGTGAGAAAAAATATTGAAAATCACTGGATGCACCTTTAAAACATCCTCTTTTTTTTTTTAATGACTGATGTACACGACAACCTTATGAGATGTACAGTCACAATGACAGATACTAAAAAACACACAATGAAAATAGCACTCAGTAATAACGGAAACACAAGGACAATATAATGTCTACATGATTTAAATCACCTGACTTAAAACCCCTTAAGTCACAGAGCTACTGCCATCATGTAGAAACTAATTAAAACATTTAAATAGCTGCAAACTTTGTGCACACAAAACTCGTTAAGTAAAACATTTCTATGCTGAGCTTCTCTGACTTCAGTCTTTAGCCTAAAATAGAATCAAAGAGTAGTTTCCTAACAGCATTCAGTAAGATGTGGTGCAGCTTTCTTGCTTGACTTGTGCTCAGTGGGTCAGCATTTATCTAAACACAAAGACAAATACAGTTAGAAATTGTGGGAAGATGATTTGTGTGTGTGTGTGTTCTTGGTGTTTATCAGCACCTTTACTGTCACTCTCCTCGTTCTGCTTCACCGGCAGTTCCTTCCAGGTCAGCTGGAAGTCCCTCAGTCCCCGTTTAGCAAGTGCTGCATGCAGCTAAAGGAGAACGATGAAGTCAAAGTGTGTTCACGTCTTTTGTTTTTTTTTCTCCTTTCTGTCTCTCTTTTTTTCACAACACTCTACCTGCTTCAGCAGGTTGGCGCTGGCGACCGGATCCTCCATGTCGGCGCTGGACTGAAGCTTCATCTTCACCACTGTTTTCTGAGCTTTGTAAACTGCACAGGATCAGAGAGAAAGGTGAACATTTGAGTCTAAAAATCACAAGAAGTCTGATAAATACATGGTCATAATGAAATGTAAGAAAAAAAAGAGGCCTCAATGCCCGAGAGGTTTGCATTCTTCCACGCACTCGAGGTTTACTGGTGAGGGCTGCAATGACGAGTTGATCAATAAAGCAACTCACAGCTAGTTATCATGTAAGTAATTTAGACATTTAAAATATCTAAATACCTTTCAGTTCCAGCTTGTCATTTGTGAAGATTTACTGCTTGTCTTAGTCTTATGTGATAACAAATTCAGTATCTGGTGATTTGTGACTGTTGGTCACGTTGGACTTTATAGGACAACATTAACTTTCCCTTGTTTCTATCCACCTACTGTGTGTAGCAGATAAGAAGATGGTGTGCAGCAGTGTGTTTCAGGAACTGGTAGTTTGCATGAGATGTGCACACATTCAATCCAAAACACTTGATATGCAAGACAAAAAGAAATGTCTGCACACTTTTGGCTTTGAATAACATCCAAAAGATCCTCCTCAATGAGAAAACGAGGCGTTTCCTTCAGAGGCCGGTAATAACTATCCCCTGCAGCTCCACAGATAACGCCTCTTTTTCTCTTTCGTACTTTCTTGAGGAAGATCGGAGCTGTTCGAAGCCGTCGAGTGTGCTGACCTGCAGTCAGCATGAACCACCTTTGCTCAACAGAAACAGAGGAAAACACGACCTAAAGAGAAAATTAAGAATGTCACATGAGTGGCTGTGCAGTTTGATTGAAAAGCTGCAGCAAAAGACTACTTTCAGAACAAAAAAGGAAGAGGCACGTAATCTTCAGTATGTCTGGTTTCCAGTTTCACCCTCAAAACAAGGGGAATGCTGTCTGTGAAGGTTCTCAGTCCTCCAGGTCATGGTTATTCTCATAGGTTAATCGTGGCAGCTGGACTTGCTTGATTTCCTTGAAGACGTTCCACCTCTCATCCAAGAGGCTTCATCAGGTCTGACTGACTAGTTGGGAGTTCCAGATACTTATAGGGGAAGGAGCAACAAACCCCCAGTTCAAACCGGAACTCAGGTGTTAATGGCTCCTTAAGGATATCAGTATCTGATGAAGCCTCTTGGACGAGAGGTGGAACGTCTTCAAGGAACTCAAGCAAGTCCAGTTGCTACGATTAATCTACGAGGATAAGGTCAAATGCTTCACTCGTTCATACTTCCTTGGCAGAAGAAAGGATACTTGGAAGTGCAGGGCTCGTCTGTCCAGGTTCCATCCTTCAGCTCTGCGGCCACACAAATCAGTGCGTCAGTCAGCATGTCCGGTTGTCCAGGCTGCCAGTTTGTGAATGTCCTGATTTCTTCATCTGAGGACCAGTGCCAGATGACGGCCATCTTGAGGCCGATCCACACTGTGGAACCTTTTGGCAGCAGATTCTTAATTTCAGAGTTAGTTTCCTTGTCAAGGATTTGGACCAGAGTTGAATTTCGTTTTTCACAACTGGTGTTTGAGTCACTCCAAGTCATTTCATTCACATCCAGGATGTAGCCGCTGCCTGTTGAGATGAAGACAGTTTTGTAAGTTCTGAGTGTACGATGAGCAAATCATTCTTCAAAAAATAACAGCCGACACTCACTAGTTTACATGAGGCAGGAAGTGTCACTGTGTAATAAAATCAGTTCATATTTAGATTACTTTGGTAGATTTGTGGGTAGCTTTTTATAACATTGTACATTCTTAACCTTTTTATTTTAATTAGTCAGGCAAGTTCTTATGTAGTATAACAAATTGTTAATTTTAACATTTAAATTAGGCAGATAAATTTGTAAATAATAATACTGTAGGGTCTTAAACTCAATATTCAACCTAGTCCAGTAGGTTTTTATATTATTGTAGATTCTTAATCTTAATATTTAGATTAGTCACTTACCTTTTTTTTCTTATTATTAAAGGGTCGTAAACTTCGTATTTAAATTAGTCAGGTAGGTTTTTTATAGTATTATAGGTAATAAAACTTATTATTTGAATTAGTCATGTTTTTACAGTATTGTAGCATCTTAACCTAAATATGCAAATTAGTCAGGTAGCATTTTTTTTTTTATAATATTGTAGGGTCTTAAACTCAGTATTGAATTTAGTCCAGTAGTTTTTTATATTATTGTAGACTCTTAATCTTAATATTTAGATTAGTAACTTACCTTTTTTTCTGTTATTAAAGGGTCATAAACTTAGTATTTAAATTAGTCAGGTAGGTTTTTACAATATTGTAGCATCTTAACCTTAATATGCAAATTAGTCAGGTACGTTTGTATTTCATATAATATCAATGGTTATTTTCCCATAAGCTTTAAACTGAGCTCGGTTAACTGAGTCTGTAACGTCAGTCGTGTCTGTCTCTTGGAAAGACTTTTGGAAAATGGTGACTTGACTTGATGCACGTTACTGAAATACACTCCGTGCATATTCAGTCTGCGTCGTTTGTCTTCTGCTTTCCTGCACTGTGAGCATCTGTTGCACACAGACACTGGGCTGCTGGCGCATTTAAGTAGGTTTCAGATCAGAGGACTGAACAGCACTGAGTCGGGACGTCCCCTACTGACGTTTTTCTGACTTGTTGAGTTTGTGTCGCGTGTTTGAATCTTCTGCAGATGTCAGATGAATCCAGTGAAGTCACACAGATTTTCTAAAATTTCACAACACACAGTAGTTGTACTTCATACTCACCGTTAAAACAAACAGAAGCTTTCTTTTCAAAGCAGTTAGCATCAATCCAACCTCCATCACTGGACATGGACACGCATAGTTCTTTGACCTGTTGAGTGACCTTGTCTGAGTTTCTGTTGTCGTCGTCTATGGCGTTTTTGTAGTTCACCTGTGAGTGACTGTCACTCCAGCTGAAATATGTGGCCGGTTGTCCATCCTGCCAGGTCCACTGCTCAGCTGACGTCGTCCCATACACTCCTATCCAGGCCTTGCCTGTGTAAACCCCCTTTGGAGCGTTCATCAGTGCGGTGACGTTGTCCTGGTTTTCTGTTTGGGCCAGTGAAGTGTACTCTGAGAGGCAGTAGTCTTCTGCTTTGCTCCATTCTTTACTCTCGCTGATGAAAGAGTAGACGTTTGGAGAAGAAGGACACAGAGGGACACAGAAACCTGAGGAGGAAAGTGGATGTGTTGGAGTGAAGGGTATAGATGTAGATATTCTGTGTTTTGTTTTGTTCTGCAGTCATAGCGGACCCTAAAGCTGAGCGAATAGAGCAACAACATTGGGTTTCACCCCCTCTATTTTTTCCAGAATAAGAAGTTAAGAGGAGGAGCATTTTTAATGCATGAAGTTTTATAGGACCTTAGCAATATGTTTTCAATACAGCAAGGAAACACATTGAGCAAGATATGAAACAGATGCGTAGTTATTCACAGGCAGGATAAGTGTCACATGACGTCAGCTACCGTCCAGTCAGCGAGTCCTGGAAGTCACAGACAGGAAAACTACCTGTGATCAGTAACAGCAGAGGGGAGTGCAGCTGGTTATAATGGTGATGTGGAGCAACTACTGGCCTCAAATAAATGAAATTCCTTCTTGTTTATTGTGAGTCAGTTGCCGCCTCTTGACAAAACAAAACTCCAGCTCATATGTGTCTACTGGTTCTTTTTTGGGACACCAGACATTTACTACAGGTTTCTACAGCGTTAGTGGAGATATGGGATGGAAACCGTCAAACATTAGACACACAACCAAGCACACTCACATTCACACCTACAGACAATTTACAATCACCAATTAACCTCAGCATGTTTGTGGACTGTAGGAGGAAGCCGGAGAACCCGGAGAGAACCCACGCTGCACGGGGAGAACATGGAGACTCCACGCAGGAAGATCCCGGGTGTCCTCACCGGGACGCCAACTGGCGACCTTCTAGTTGCGAGGGGCCGGTGTTAACCACTGAGCCTATCCTATCACCAATCATCTGTTACAGAAATCACATCTCACCTGTGAGCAGGAACATCACAAACACAGCATCATCCATCCTGACGGCGATTCAGATCCAACATGAGCTGAAAGAGCAGAATTAAAGGGTTATTCGTCATTATCACGAACACACAGATCTTTTGTTTTTCCTATTTCAGCACCATTTAATTAGGAGTGAAGCAGTAAAAACATTTGAACATTTTTTGCCATTTTTCACATCAGACTTCTTCAGTTTTTTTTATTCTGTACTTTTGGTCCCTGTGTACAAAATCTGGAGAGGAAACAAAAGCTCTTCTTTCCTTTTTTCTTTTTTTTTTTTTTATTTTTTGTCCAACCTGTTGCTGTGATTTCATTTCGGTCTGGTTTATGTGTGACGCTCTCAGCAAAAAGTACAGAAATGACAAACCCTTAAATCTGTATCCTCTGATCAAAACACTTTAACCGTCTTTGTTAAAAGCTGTTTCTGCCCTTCAGAGTGTTATTTTCTGTTTGTGTTATGGCACACTGCACTGATGCACATTAGAAGAAGAAAAGAAAAGATCAAAATTGCACAATTTACTGTAAATGTTATTGAACAAATACACGCAGCCACATATTGATCACACATGAACTCACCAAACAGCCGTGTCTCCTCTGCAGCGCTCGTCTGCTTCTTTTCTGTTTGAGGATGTTTTTATAGGAAAATGCAAACGAGCTTGGTGGACGTTTGACGGATTCACTTTAAATGAGACAGATTGGATGAGAGAACCGTGACACGCCCTTTATGACTGGAAGAAACTGTGAACAACAGTTTTGAAAAGGCTTTTTTCAAAGTCTTCCTGTTCAAGCTCTGCTCTCCATAGACATTTTTAGAAATGCCATGATTCTAAACAGCAGATCCTTATTTTAGCCTGTATGTAGCACAATGAGGCACAGTGTGAAGGCGACGTGTTGTGATGCACAGAAACACTTCACATGCTGTATATGTGCAGTCGCTATAGAAGGTTTTTACTCTTTGCATTATTCCTGTCATGAAGAAAAATCGATGCTCTCCAAAT